AATTGGTCACTTTTAATGTTAACTCAATCGCTATTTGAAAATGCCTCAATTAATCTTTCTGTTAACTACGGTACACTAATCGATTAAGGTGCATAGATCTGAAGTGACGTGCAGGTCCCATTAACGTAATGAGTCTCACCTTGTTAAGGGTTGAAAATAGATAACCAAAAAATATTGTACCACTTCTCGCTCTGGCATTAATCTTTCCTAAAGAGCATTCTTATAATTCGGCATCTCATGACAATAATAGAGCTAAAAAACAAATTAATAACAAAAGTCTGAAAATTTTCATTTTACTTAGATTTAATGCGCTTCTGGGAACTAGCGCTGATAGCTGTGGCCATATTGATATGCCAAGCTGGAGTGTTCTACTTCCAAGCGTGGCGCTGCGAACAAAAGCTACCGAAAATGCTAGACGATGAATTCACAGCTCTAGTTGTGACGGATGTGCATCTGCTGGGCAAGCGGCGACGCTCGGTCATCGAAAGAATGTGGGTGGATTGGCAGATCCGCGCGGCCATAAGAGCGGCAGTAGATGTGCACGCGCCCGATGTGGTTGTTGTTCTTGGTGACCAGTTTGACGAGGGCGGTCGCCGGACGTCCGACTCAGACTGGGACGAATACGCTCAGCGATTCTTACGTGTGTTTGCCAGCTTTCTGCCCAAAAAGACACTCTACGTTGTGGGCAACCACGACACGTCGTTCGGACGAGAAATGAACCTTCACGATTTAAAACGCTTTGAAGTCACATTCGGTGCTACGAATCACTTCGACGTTATCGAAGGACACACGTTTGTTGTACTGAACACGATGGCGCTGGACTCTGATGTGGCTAGCCATGATGTGCGAACGGATGCAATGACCTTTTTCAATAGTATTAAGTTAAGCGATCTACGCATGCGCGGACACAAAAAAGTTATTCTACTATCGCACTTGCCGCTTTTCCGCGAAAATGATCTTCAGTGTGGAGAAGAGCGACTTCGTGAAGTAGGCCACGTGACGTACGAAGCTCCTGAATTTGAATACACAACGCATCATCACGTGCTCTCGAGAGAGTTGTCCGTAGAACTGCTAGTTAAGGTGCAGCCTGATCTAGTGCTCTCAGGTCATACGCATGCATGGTGTGCGTGTAAACATCCTGACTCAAAGGTGATGGAGTACACTGTTCCGGCTTTCTCGTGGGGACAGCGCCCTGATCCAAGCTACGCACTGTTGAGACTTTCGCAGACGCAAGAGTCTATCATTACAGCTTGCAATTTACCACGCGAGCCACTTATCTTTGCCGCGTACGGTGCAACTGTGTCTATTCTCGTGCTGGCACATGTTGTGAGATTTGTACGCAGACGACAAGCACAAAAGACGAAAACTACCAAGGGTGTGTGATTGCATGGACGATCGGTGCTGGCGTCAGCAAGCATCTATCAATTGAAGTTTGCATGGGAAAATCCATGTCAATCGCTAGGCATCATTTATTACACATCATAGTAGCACGAAGCACGTGAGTCTTGATACGATGGACGTTCTCGAAATAAAGCAATGCATGTTCAGAAGTAGTTCAGATTTGTGCAAATAAAAGATTCATATGCTTTGCAACAAAACAAGATTCTACTTAACATCGTTCATTCCTACTACGACACCACATACACTGCGCCGGACCAGTTATAAATAATATGTATACAATCAAGACGGGTTGATACGAACATGCATAGTGATATGACCTCCTAAAGATGATCGAGGGATCCACATTTTCAATGAACCTCCGCCTTTACCCGGCAATCCAAAGATACCAGGACGCCATCGATCCAAGTACAACGTCTTGTCCTCAAATTCTGGAAATGTAGCGTCCCATGTAGTGACATCGCCGGCACCAACATTAACTTTTGTATATCCATCGCCCCCCGAATGAATGACAACCGTCACATCCTTTGTGTCGACGCTTTCAAAAATTAGGTGGACAACGCCATCCCCTTTGTGTGTATAGAAACCATAAGTCCCTCTAAACGCTTCATCTACCACCTGTAGCCCCAATGCGTCATAAAGCGTTCCGTCATCGATTTCCCCAATGTAAGCTGTAGGCCCGCAAATAGGTTGCACAAATTGTGCAGCCATGTACGTAATACCTGTTGGATCGAATGATGCAAGCACAGTTAGTCCCATATTGGCAACTTCTAGCCTGTATTCATCTTCGGCAACGTGCGTGCCATTGTCAGTGTGGCCCGTATCAATGAGTTGATCAACAATTACTCCGAACGTCTTTCGCAGTAGGTCACGCGTCTGAAATGCTGCCATTCTTGTCTTCGTGGTCAGAAGTTCACCCATACAGTTGTTTGTAACGGTCGGGATATCGTTAAGCACTATTGCTGATTTGTATACTTTGACCCGCACGTCACTCAAGCTATCACTCGCATTGCGATATCGGAGAACAGCACGTATGATTCGATCCGTGAGTCGCTTTAACTCCCATCCACATGTCGAATTTTTTTTTACGAGATCCTCGAGCTCATCCTTTGTTGTCGAAGAATCATTAGCCAGACCATTACCTTGAAGTAAATTCAGGACATTAATTCCATGTTTGATAAGCTCGTCCCCTTGCGTGATTACTGCTTTTACAATTCCTTCCACAATTGACAAGACGATGTCGGACCACCCTGCGGAACTAGGGACGTCTATGCCTAAGCACACGCACACAGCAATGGGAATATCAAAGATCACAACATCAGCTTGGTACGCCATTGCCAACATTTCAGCTGTTTCGCCAACGGGGGCTGTGGTTTGCCGATATCGAAGATAGTAAATCAAGCTATGTATCGCTCCCACGATGTGTTTCGCGCACATGACTACCCGCTTGGTCAGTTTGTATGCAGTCCGAATTTCACCAAATAAGTTTAAAGAAGCAGCATTTAAGACTACAAAGAGGACAGAACCGATTTTATCAAGCACCATAAGAGCACAATCGTCATTTTGAGGAATGCACTCTCCACCACACGTGACTGGGAACGACAACGGACAACGAGCCATGCAGTTGAAGTCTTGCTTACCATATCCCAACGGACAGATTGTGCTGCTGTCATAATCGGTGACTTTTCGATAGCAGGACGTATCAGTAGGTCTTCCAATGCTTGGACCCACCCAATTACGAATCGTGGTGCCATACATCCCTTGACCCATACCTGTTGGATCCGTAAGTTCTAGATCTTTAGCCGTCTTATTGATCCAAATTGCGCCAATCTGGTCCACTTCGTTAGCCGCTCGACCGTAAAAGCCGCCTAAAATAAAACCTTCTGGAGCTGTTGAAGTCGCAACATTTTTAGTCTTGGTTCCACCAGACAAAATTTGACCAGCGGTGGTGGTAAAAGCGACGTAAAAGACGCGAGTGTGTTTGTCCTTTCTGTCCCAATGAACCTCCATAGACGTAATGTGCTCGTCGGGAGCAAGTGTGATTGATTTCTCCGTCCCACCTCGTCCTCCATGCTTCATGATTACATCTTCTGGTCTGGACAGCTTCAACTGAACAAAATCTAATCGCTTGTTCGATCGGATCGAAATCGAAGCAATAGTTTGACTGAAACGAAGTTTTTCAATATCTGAGAAAGCGTTTCCATGTGGACCGCCAAAGAGCTCTCCAAGAACAACATCTTCGTCAGCCGAAACCGGGGAATTGATCGTTTCATTCATCTTGGCAATACTCGTCCAAACTGCACCGACAAGATCCATTTCATCGCCATATCGACCAAAAAACCCAGAAAGCTGGTACCCTTTTGGCGCGACCAAAAAGGACTTTTCAACTGTTGGGGTCCCACCGGACACCGTGTTGCTTTTACTTGTTGTTAAGCTCACAAAAAAAATGCGCGTGTGGCCCATTCTTTGACCCACGTTCACCTCCATTTTTGTAATGTACTCGCCAGGCTCAAGTGTAATAGTGTTATCCTTACCACCATTTCCGCCATTTTTAAACGTCATCTCTTTAGGTGCCGAGACTTGCACAATGAGACCATCAACACGTTTACCTGCTCGAATTGTGACCGATTTAATGATCATACCGGATGTGCACGCTAATTGATCAGAAAACTGCTCGCCATGCGGGCCACCAAAGGAATCACTGAGCTGAACTGGTAGATTATTCTCGACCATATCGACTTCTGACAGACTACTGGCGATATCTTCGGGGGCAACTGTTCCTGGTGAATCTTCTTCTGTCACGGGAGCTGGTGCAGGTGTCGGAGCGGGTGTCACGAGATCTATGTACGCCCAAACTGCTCCAAGACTATCAATTTCTTTTCCATCACTGCCGTAAAAGCCTGCTAGTTGAAAGCCTTCAGGAGCCGTCACTGTGCGTTTATCATTCGTTGTTGACCCTCCGGAGAGCGTTTTTCCAGCACTCGTTTTAAAAGCCACGTAAAAAATACGCGTATGACCATCTTTCTTACCCCAATGTACTTCCATCGAGTTGATATACTCGCCATCGTCTAATTTCAGTACTTGCCTCTTACCACCAGTTCCTCCGTGGGTGAATGTAAGTGTTTTGGGTGACTTAATATCTATGCTGACGCCATCGAGGCGTTTTCCAGCATAAATTGAGATTTGACTGACCTTCTGCCCCGAGTTGACTAGATTTTTGTCGGTGAAGTTCATGCCGTGAGGTCCCCCGAATAGTTCACTTTGCTGGATTGAGTCCTTTACGTCTATCGTCGGCGTGTCAGACTGTACTACTGACGCCGAACTTGCTGATTCTGCTGCTGAGGCATGACCCGAGTCTTCAGCAGACTCAAGCGAAGATGATCCCTCATTCGATGCAGAATCGGAAGCTTCGGTTGACTCGTGCACTGATTCTGGAGGAAAAGTGATTTCAAAGTCTTTTAACAACCAGGATCCTGCTGTTGATCCTGATAATGATTGCAGGTCTGATGCAAATTGATAAGTTTCGAGCGACTCAAGTGATGGTAAATCATCATTGGAAGCGTCGGGTGACTCATGCACTGATCCTGGTGGAAATGTAATTTCGAAGTCTCCTGTTGACGAATCTAAAAATCCCGCTGTTGATGCTGCTCTTGAGTCTTCTGTCGAGTTATCTCTTGAAGCGTCAGTCTCAAGTTGTAAAACGGACCCAGATCCCCCACCCTCGGAGTCTCCTTCCGACCCTGTATTTGATGAAGCATCTAAATGGTCACTACCCCTGTCGACTTCAGGAGCACGCGCAGGCTCACTAATGACTGGCGCTTCAGCCGAAATTCGTGTCCAGATCGCTCCTATTTTATCGACCTCGTCGCCAGCTCGACCAAAAAAACCTCCAAGTTGACAACCCTCAGGTGCTTTCGCTGTGTCGTTGTATTGAGTGTGAGAACCTCCTGAGACTGATTTACCAGCATTTGTGCTGAAAGCCAAAAAGAAAATACGTTTTTTGCCTTTGTACGTGTCCCAATGCGCCTCCATAGAAACAATATATTCCTCGTTGCCAAGTGTTAAAGTATTTGGCTTGCCACCATATCCACCGTGATTAAAAGTTGCTTCTTTCGGACTTTTGACCACTAAAACAATCCCATCAACTCGTTTGCCCGCTCGAATCGTAATGGATTCGATTTTTTGCCCTGATGTGGCTGACGATTGATCTGAGAATTCCGTTCCAAAATCACCGCCAAAACTCGCACTCAATTGAACGGCATCATCAGCCACATACGCGTGCGGGAACACCGCGAGAAGAGCACAGACAAATGTTGGCAATATTGCTACCATGTACACAAAATGTGTTGTGCCAGCACAGCTGATTTTCCTGAATTGAATCATTTCTCTGACTCGAAAGCATTTACATTAACTAATTGTGGCAATCGACAGTTGTTTTCTGATGTCAGTCAAGCCTTTTTTATTCATCAAATTTACATAATTAAGCCAGCTTACGAAAAGACGACAGAGGCGATTGTCATATGTGCTCTTTGATTTGAAATTTCTACAATTTAGTAACGAAGGATAATGGGATCTGGTACAGATGTCCACATGATGGTAGCGACTGCTTTTCTTGAGGTGAGGTCTTGCATACGGAATATACATGGAATTTTGGCGCTATGTTTATTCATACTTATTGAAAGCGAGTACAAAAAAAATGCACGAATGACAACAAAAC